AAAATGCAACACTTGCACCTGCAAATTTTTTTTACGTGCGCTCAATTTTCTTTTTACGTGCGCTCAGAATAGTGACACAAAAACAACGCCATAACAGCCCTGTAACTAGTGGGAAACAGACAAATTCTGCCCCCTGGTGGGAAAAGGTAAAATCTGCATTCCACAATAAAAAGCAAGTGTATAATCACTGGATATTGTACTCTTAGAAGCTTCAATGTCAAAGCATCCTACACTTACAAACCGGGCTAAGATGCAAAACAAAAAAACAAGCAAAAGGAACAAAGTTAAGTTATATGTAAAATAAGGCTGGCAATCAGATTGGCAACCTGTCCAGGTTGGATCTCACCTCTTGCCCGCCTCCAGCAGCACTGTAACCCTGAGAAGGAAGATAATGGATGGCTATAAGTTAGATTTCTACATAATGTTTATTTTAACAAACCATCTGACAGCAACATAAACAGACAAACAGGTCTGTCTCAGTTTAGTGATCATAAGTTTCTAGTGTTTCTCGGGGCCCCTCTCACGGGGGGAGGGGGCTATACCTTCTCCCTCACAGAGAGAATTATGACCTTGTTTTCTGCTTGGCTGTCACCTAAGGATTTACATCCCTGATAAACAGAAGGAGTCTCACTATCTGTTTAACGTCTCCCATTACAATGGCCTCACTGTGTTAACATTCCCCATGCATGCAAACTAGTGACAGGAGTGCTCTTACTATAGTAAAGAGAGAAAGTGATATTACTATAACTAATGTGATTTGATTAAATATGTGATTAATAAATGAGAAAAGAAATCTGCCACCACAACATTCTCTAGTCAAGAAGGTGAAGGTGGAGTGAGAGCTCCAAAAGAAGAGACTAAAGTCACTATCAGGAAGTGACACCTCATAGTGACTAATTTATGTCAGGGGTAAACACCCCTTAAAGCTCCCAGGCCTCTGGTGTGTAGAGAACCTTTTTATTATATTAAACCCTCTTTATTGTAAAGACATTTTTCCTGCTCCAGCTTTGATCCTCGGAACAAAATTCCTAACTTTCCCCGCATTCAAGTTGGCCCCCTGAAGTGTTCTTCTGCTCTGCTTGCCCCCCTCCAGGTCAATTCAGTGCAGTTGAGTTGTATTTATATAGCACCAAATCACAACAACAGTTGCCTCAAAGTGCTTTATATTGCAACGTTAAACCCTTCAAATGCCCTGAACTTCTGAACCCCCAGATCTGTCACCTGCTCCGTCTCCTGGTATTTGACTTGCATTTTTTTTTCTTTCTTTTTTTTTTGCCTGTCCCATTTGGTTCTTTAGCCATCAGAATTGTTGTCTGAAGACCAACAAGGATACCCAATGGATTTACTTTGCCAAATGGATCATCGTGGCATTGCCGTATTGGTCCATTTGATCGACCTTTGTTTTTATTATTTATTATATTTTATTTTCAGATGTTACAGACGGGACAGACATGAGTGAGGGATAGGAAAGGGAGAAAGAAAGAGGAAGGAAAAGAAAAACAGAAGGGGAGAGGGACAGTGAGAAGGGGGGAGAAAAAAAAATCTCCTGGATCACCTGTTGAGAGAAGAAGAATAGAAAACAAGCAAAAAAAAAACAAAGCAACATACTAAACACAACACCATCGCATTAATCTAGCTAAGTGTAAACAGCAGTAAATACTAAATATTCAATGTTGTTGTGCAGCACGCAGGACAGACAGCGCACAATGTGCTTTGAAGTAGCAGCCAAGAAAGGTGTAATTTAAGTCTACGAGCAGTGAACATCCGTGTGCATACCTGTGTGGATCAGCGCGCTTGTATTCAAATGGTTTCCACATGTAATGGTCTGCAAGAGGATGTAGCGAGCCATAGCCCCGTCCCCCAGGGCATGAAGCAGGCATGGAGGAGATCCAGGCCCCAGACATCCAGAGGCCCCAGAGTGCGAGAGCCCAAGGAGGACCACCGGAGGGGCATCCGTGCCACCCTCATGGGAAGGGCTGAGGATCCCCAGACGAGGCGTCACCCAGTAGCCACCGAGCAGAAGCTAGAGGGGGCTGCACCGGCGTGCCCGCCGGCTCTGCCGGCAGCCAGCTGTGCCAGAGTGAACCGAGCCGCAGGCCCAGAGGCCGGAGGCCCGAGGGCCCCCCGCACCCCGGAGGAGGCCTGACCGAGCAACAGGCGCCAGGCCCCGCCAGGTAGCCACCGGGAGTGAGCTGGTACATACCTGAGCGCCCAGCCCCGGACACCAAGAACCACCAATGCACCGACCCCTGAGGGCATCAGTCACCGGCAGGGAGTGTGGTGAGGGGAGATAGGCCTTGGAGGGCCTGGGAGTTCCCAGAGAGGTGGAGTCTAAGACCCGACCTGACATATAGACACAGACAAACAGGCACACACAGACACAAACATGCATTCCCACCCTCATGCACACATATACAAACACTCAGCACTCACCCAACGTAAGGATTGACATAAATGGACATGTACACACAATCACACTCCCCAAACATACTCTATACCCCGGGTCCAGGTACCCTCGCCCCCAGAGGGGGAAACAGAACCCAGACCCAAGAGATGTTACCCTTCCCCCCGGGGTGGAGGCAAGCAGACCGTCCCAGGCTCCGCAGCAGCAGGGAGGCCAATCGGACAGCCAACATCTCCTCCCAGCCCCCCCGCCCCGATGGCTAGCAGAGAACGGGGGTGTGTGAAGACCCCATACCTCCCTCCTCCCGCTCATGTGTAGTGTTGCTGCGTGTTGTTCTAAAGTGCATTTAAAACAAGGGAGAGCATGGTGCTGCTGCCAGAGAGCAGCAGGTGTTAGCATTTGTCTTGCATTTGACCTTATTTGCTTATTGATTTTTATTTTGTCTTGAAGAAATAATTTTTGCAAAAGTTTACTTTCACAACAAAATAATATGATGGGAAAATTGTAATTTTATCATGATGTTTATCTCTATAAATGCTCTTGTAGCCACATTCTCAACAAAACACCTATTTTGGTACGCAGAGAAAATGACATCAGACTTCTAAAGAGGTTTCAGACTACTGACACTTGTTCTGATGGCATCATTGTTTTGCATCAATGATATTAGGAGTTAAATTTAGGTGGCAGAATAAATGAACTCTTTATGTCAGTTAATATGCATTCTCAAACATCACACTGAAACCTGGTTGTGTTTTGTTTTCTAATAATCACAAAATAAAGAGAAATAAAAGAGAGCTACATTTCTCATTATACTTATCTCAACTGACAATCTTCACACATTTGACTTCCTATAATCTATTGTTGGCCAAGATGTGACAGAGGAGAATGAAGTCACTAGCAGGAAGTGACACCTCGCAAACCCCACACAGCACAAGTATTTATCTTTAACAAGTCAAATCTTTAGATGCAGTGTCATTAGTGTGTATGAGTACAGAAGAAGCACCATGGTCCTATTCAGATGGATTGAAGTGTTTTTATTCTCTCTACTAATACTTCAGTGTAAAGGTAAGGACACATATTTAAATACAAATATTGCATCAACATGTGATTTCATTAAGTAATATGACTTTACCTATGAAGGATTATTATGTCCACATTAAGGAAAAAATATTGATGATTTTCATAAAAAGGAATTTCCAGATTCAAGTCGATAATCGATTTTTGTCAAAAAGTGGAGATTACAGTTGTTGTTTGAAGAAAAACTGCCACGGATGCTATACTCTCTGCAAAAAGCCTTGTTTAGATGAGTTAGTGAAACAAACCGATCAGCTGTCTTGTGATGCAACATAAATACTCTTTATTGAACGAGTCTGTAACCACTGATAACTTTTGCATCTATCCACTCCCATCTGTTTCATTTTGTACAAATCCACTCTTCCACATATGTGTGGTTTTTCCATCTTACAGATTGCAGCTTTCTGCACCATTTTTTCAACGTCCTTATACTTATCGCCACGCAGTGTTTACGTGTTAGAGCTGAGATAACAGAGAAATTATGATGAACTACCTCAACTTGATGTATATAATTGCTCGACGTATTTGATTTACAATATGATTTTTTGGTTATTGAAAATGTTTTTTTTTCCCCATCTTAAAAATATAAAGTAATAATTTGCCAGTTAAATAATGCACCACCTTTTGGCTACTGTAGCTGTAACATTAATATGTAATTGTAATCATAGATCTGACACACTGGTATGTTTGTATACTTGGGGAGTGTTTATCAAGGCACTACACACATATGGCTGGATGTTTCTGTAAACAGTTCAATAACTTCCCAGTCAGTTATCAGTGCGCACTCCTCTCTCAGGTCTCTGGCTTCACTA